GAAAAACCACCGACCTACGGCCAGAACCTGTTGACTGCCCCACGTAGGCCTTGAACCCGCGACCCAGGGATGCAGCGCTAGTGGTAGCAGAATGCCAGACGCCTTAACCACTTGGCCACCGCGGCTCCATGATTTCTTTTTCAAAAGGCGGTTATTGCTCAATGATACATTGTATAAATCAAATAAGGTAACCTGGGATATTTCATTAATTACCAAACTGTACAAGCCGGTATTTATCACAGAACAACCAGATCATGTGGTGAGTGTATGTATATCGTGTTGTTTATATATTTACCACATCCATTGTTACATTAGGATCAGGATTCTGAAAATTCTGGATTTTGTGCTCACCTATTGCTCTCTCATCACCCATGGAATATTTCATGATAAAATCGAAGGCACAAAGTTAGCTACAGAAAGTATTTGATTGGCTTCAGGTGAAAAACTGACCAATTGCTAGACTGATAGATATACCTGGGCGCACTTGTATAAAACATCTCAACTCTTGAGATTTCCTCAAGTCTAACATTTCCCATAGACAATACATTGCTGGAGATTTTCCTTAACTTTGAGATGTTTTATACAAGTGGACCCTGTCCTTCCAAGTTTACAGAGAAGCAACATTCGACTCAACTCATTCACCCCTAAAGTCAAATTTGGATCTTACCAAATCAATGACTGGGCAAGTCCAGTTTAGATATGTAGGGGTTAATGAGTTATTAGCCAGTCGATTTTACCTTTATGTTGCTGTGTGATTCCTTTGATGTATTTCGAAAGGATCAAACTGGTCGATTTCTTTCACCCACAATGTGGTGCACACTGAGCCTTCACTTTTTGTCATGACATATTCCAGGGGTGCATTGAACATAACTAAGCACAAGCCCTGGAATTTCCAAGATGATGTAGACTTGACATTAACTCAATCACCCCTGAAGTTTCATAATGAACTATTTAAACCTTTGAAATAGAAGAGTTCAAACGTGTGCTCAGGGGTGAAGGAGTTAAGTCATTGTGACAATAGACATGATGAAAACACTGTTGTTAAGGTAATAAAAAGGATATTGAATTTATTTCCATTTCATGAAACTCATTCCAAAGTTTTCTTTTTAGCTCAGCAGAGCCTGAATTCTTGAATAAGAAATTAAAAAAAAAAAAACACACCTCAAGGCGTTTGTTAAGAAAAAACAAAACTCTGATGAAATAGAAACTTATTAAAATCCAATGGTCTTGGGTTTAATATATGGTAGCCTTCATCTACAACACATCAAACAACTACGGTACATTTTTTGCAATTGGTTAAAAAGCAATTATTTGCTATTTAATAACCTACTGAAGCTTGATATATCTGCTTAGGTGTACACCATTCTAATTTGTTTATGAATCCACACTCAACGCCCGGCGTATATATAAAATCTATAATTTATCAGCACACAACAACACATTTCAACTATATCATGTATACATGTTTGTAAGATAATGATTTTTAAATATATAAGATAATAATAATCTATTAAGATATAATTATCATAAAGACTAGTATAAATGTATGAATAAAAGAATAAAGTAATTATGTATGAATGATATCAATTTAAAACTATAAATAACACTACATTTATATACCACTGCCCTCAACTTCATCAGGTCAGGTGGATAGATTAGCCAAATTTCCCTGCAACAGTGAACAATCTTTCTTACACAGTAGAAATAAAATAAAAGTTTACTTCTTACTATAATTACATTATTTAGGTGTATGTAGATTACACAAGTGATGAAGGGAATTAATTCTTCTGCTAACAAACTCCATATGTGCCCTGTGCCAGTTCTTCACTAATTAGACCCTTGCAATTAAAATTTGGAGAGAAAAAAAGGTTGCTATCCCAATAAATTTCTTCCTGAACAGTTCACACACTGTCAGTTATTGACTGGGACAAATTCAAAGTGCCAGACAGGGGGTGCAGCCTGTTCTAACTACAGAAAATGTAGTCTTCTGGAAAAAGGAAAAACACTCTTGCACAATGCAATCTCTGTTCCGTAAGCATAGCCAAACTTAATTTGTCAATTTGATTGCAATCTGGTAGGTATTTAACATGTAAGTAAACATGTTTTAGTGGTCATTTTTCTGATGAAGCAGGGCAAGAAAAAAATGTTCAAAAGCATTGGACCTTTCAACAAAAGGATTTGAGAATTACTAGCCTTAAGGTAGATAAACTGGTTCAAAGGTTATCATATATACTATACGGAATAAGTCTGCATAACATTAAAGTCATTTTAACAGCAATATTTAGCCATTCTACCTTTGTTCTTCTTTTATAAGCAATGAAACAGTATACTGTGAATATAGTAAAAGATAAAGAAAAGTTTTGCCCTGGTCTAGATCTATGGACAATATTTTCATTTGCACACCAAATCTATACCGGCATTTGATAATCGAACCTAGGATTTATTCTTGTCCTGTTGAGGTGACACAATTAATGCAAGAAAATATTGTACAAGTCATTGAAACATCACACATAATACTTTCACTGGTTGTATTATATGAGCTTGTATACAAAACCTTTATGTTACAGATATACACAGAGGTAGATATTTAACTCATTCCCTTCTCATATACTTGCAGAAAAGAACATGACTCCCGTTTTTGGTAATCACAAAGGGACACAATTCAATTCTGAGATCTTTATACACAGAGGCCTAGGGAGATTATTCCCTTAATTCTCACACATTAGGCAAACTTAATTCTGGCGTGTTGCATTGGCCATGTAGACTGCCGTTGGCAAGGCAGCACCTGGTTGTGTTATGTAAAAGATTTACGTTAAGTTTAGAGAGACGGGCAAAGCTGCATGGAAGATTGCCTCCCGTATATAGTGTCTCAACAAATATTCATTATTCTTTCTAAAATGTCAACAGCATGAATACATACAGTTTGATACAATATGTTTCACTAATGGATCCACCAGATACTTCCTGATTTGTACTTTTAGATTACTTTTGTTGCATTGGCTATTGTGCTGCCAACTCGATTGTAACATGCCTGCAAGCATAACCAAGCAAAAAGCACAAATCTTATTCCAGAATCAAGCTTGTCCAACATATTCACTAATGGAAGTTATTCCCTTCTCATTTTGATAGATGTATTTTATAAATTTTCACAAAGAATCGTAATCTCTTTCTTATATATACACTGTATTATTGACAAAAAGACAAAATCACCTTTTCCTAGAATAAATCAAAAGGCCATAATCCCCAGAATAAATACAAAGGGCAATAATCCCCTTCTCATCAAATTATACACAAAGGGACATAATCCCCTTCTCATCAATTTATACACAAAGGGCCATAATCCCCAGAATATACCCACTGGAAAAACCTCAAACACAGGACAAGCGGAATTAAAATACCTGTGGTCTCTTAAACGATCTGATTCCATGGAATATAGAATAAAGGCAGAAATAAACATCCATATAACATGATTAAAATATTGCACAAAGAGAATATCTTGAAGAGAACTGGTATGGAAATAAAACAGGTTTTCATTAACACAAAAATTGCTAGAAATCTGGGAAAATAATGACACTGATAAAGTGATTTAATAAAGGTTAAATCTATGCATCACACCTATATTTATTTATAATATAAATACGAAAATATTAAATATATAAAGAACAATATATATACATAAATATCTATATGTAATAACAAAACTTTTGTGAATATTTTCTAACAATGTGAGTTATATATTATAATAAAGGCAGGGGGTGGTTTTTCATATCAAATAACCCTTATCCTACAAACATGGTAATTATAACAGACATATATATATATATAATTTAATCTTGCTTGTAACACACATTTCCATTGGCTTAAAAATTTATGTTATCAGCCCATAACGTAAAAAAGTGATGTTGTCGTTTGTAACGTCGCTTTTGATTGGCTGATACAGCGGCGTAATAATTTCTAAGAGAAAAGAGTCCATCAATTAAAGTGGATTTGGGATTGTGTATAGTAGATTAAACTATAAGGATTGACTTGCATATATTTTTTATGTTATGGAGCTATAACACAAAAAACTGGAGTGTACTCTCATCATAAACTGCTTCACGGTTTATTTCGAGTACACTTCGGTTTTTTTGTGTTATGTCTCCAATATATTAATTTAATATTTAATTCCCTTTCCTCTCCCAAAATTAACATCAACCCTTTTCATGCGTAAAATATTTGCTGTATTTTCACATATTATCATCAACAGTCTGAGTGACCTAAGACAAATGCGAACGCCAATTAATGTTTCAAACATACCAGCATTGCTATGATCACGACAACCGGAACACAGACAGATCTGACTGTGTATACCAAGAGCCACAATAGTTTGTACATGTACATTGTATACTTAATTATATATATATATACTCTTATGCAAAAGGAATAGAATACATTGCTCAATAGTAAAAGTTAAAAACATCTGATAGCAAAAATATATCTCAAAGCACAATACTTAGTTCATCCGAACAAATTAAACATACAGAATTTGTAAATTTAAAATTATAAGAGGTGCTCCAAACTTCCTCTTTTAGGCCCGGTTTTAGAATTTTAATAAATATGTTTGAGCATTTGTAATATGCTCGGTTTCTTTTTCCATATATTTCATTGACGCATTTAAAGCAAGTACATGCAGGTAATCTATTTAAGACGTCGCAATTTCTAGACGTCCGTAAAATGTGTACTTTGTTTTGACATCTTAAGTATGTGTACTCCATTTATAAAGTCGCAAATAAATTCAAATCGCCCGAAGACCCCAAGATGGGTGAAAGTGCTAGCTGATTATATTAGTCTTCATGTTTTGTTTTATTTATATTTTATCCGTCATATATATAATCATAGGACAAGTTCCAGTTTTACTTGAAACTGTGACAAGTTCTGACAACAGTAACAGTTTTCTCATTCACCCCTAAAAAAATAATGAACTATTCCAACCTTTGAATTGGAAGAGTTAAAATGTGACTTTAGGGGTGAATGAGTTAAATTTTATTTGAAAGCGGTATTCAAGAAATTTTAAAACACAAAAAACAATTATCTTTTCAGATGGTTAGTGAATACCTGAAGGCGAGACGCTTTCAAGTATAGAGGCAGCAAGTAATCAGTAAATAAGGTAATATTGTATGAAACTTTGCAAACAATCCAATGGGTATCGGGCAAATGTGCCATTATAGGAATATGTGAACTCTGAACTGTCCCTCTCAGTATCACTCAGCATACATATAAAAACTTAATTAGAACAAATTGTGTAGGTAACACTACTAAACTGACCATTAAATTACAGCTGATGCTATGCAGTACCATGACAATGCTGCTGGTTGATCAAGTGCAGGTGGAAGTCATTTCTGTCTGCAAATACAGTATGACAGATGCTACACTCCCAGGGGTTAGGAGAGCCGTGGAGGGCAACATGCAGAAAATACAACCCACGTTCCTCAAACAAAATACGGCAATGCTGGCATCGGTAGATCTTGCCTTGGGCCTCATAATAAGCAAGAGTATCTTGCAGATTGGGTGCGCTCGGGTTGTGCTGTGTAAATTGGGTGGCCTTGTCCACATTGTTTTTTGGATGGCTAATGGTGATGGAAATCTGCGGAAATTTTCCTGGACCTTCCTCCTCGGAGCGACGAGCCAGATTCTGCAGCATGGAGAGTACCTCAGACACATTGCTTGTGGAATCTGCTGCCTCTTTTGTTTGGCCACCATGTCTGCTGGAGCCAGGTTGTGTAGATTCTACATTGATGACTGCAGACGCTAATACAGCATTATCAGCACTTTGACTTCGGCTACGATGACTTCCACTGCTTGAACCAAACTGACCTGTGCTAGAGTAGCCTCCCATACGCTGTTGGTGTAGGTGACTCATACTCATGTTTTGTCCATATGGCGAATTCATGCCAGGGTTCATAAAGTGGGCGGAGTCAGCAGAATCAGAAGAAGGCGACTGAGGTTCCTGTTTCACATGTATGCCATGGGGAAGTCCACTGAGGTCCCCCTGAGGTGGAGCGGAGGGATTGCGTGTTGCCAGGTTAGCACATATACTGTCAATACGGCGAATATTATCTGAACAAAGGTCATTTCCTGGACTTGAAGACACCATTGGACTACTGCTCCCTGAATGGCTCGGAGACGGAGTTTGCATTGGCTGACTTGGCGACTTCATCTTTGAGAAGTTAAAGGCAACGCCAAACTGTGGTAGTGTCCCCTTCTGTTGACCGAATCCTGAATTATCCATTTGTGACCCATTATGATTTGAGGAATGTTTCTCTTTTGTGTCCATGACCTGAGGTGGGTGATTCTTCTGTATGTGGTCATTTAGTGACAACTGGTTGGTGGTGGAGAAGGAACACAGATTACAACTCAATACTCCACCAGGATGACCCAGTAGATGCCTCTGAAGTTGTTCTGGTTTGTCAAATCGTTTGGTACAAATCGTACAACAAAATGGTTTCCTATGCACCAACTTATGTTGGACCAGATTAGATCTTGCTGCAAAACGCTTGTCACAGAGATTACAAGCATAGGGCTTGATGCCAAAGTGGATATTCTGATGTTCCATCAAGATATTCTTGTAGCCAAATCTTCGATGACATATGTTGCATTCAAATGGTTTCTCTTTTCCATGTGTCAATCTTAAATGTCTTATCAAGCCATTTTTATAGTTGAAAGATTTGTCACAAAGATTACACATAAAGTTCTCCCCCTGTTTGGTGTAGAATGGCTGGTTCTCATCCAAGGCTGCCATTGATTCCTGGATGTGAGCTGCAGTGTCGATGACAGCCGATGGATCCCGAGTCGGAGGAGCCATGGCACTGGTTACCATGGGGACCTCTGGGGAAGTCATACTTGCTCAGATATATAAGTAACAGCTATATATGCTACCTGTAACAGAAAAATTATAGGTGTTATTCACATCACAAGGAAAGAAATTCTTTTGGAGAAACAATATTATGTCGAATATGAATAGGACTTGCATAAATTTCAGAAAACCTGTTTATCGCAATCACAGGCATAGTGTATCATATTGCAATGTATAAATAAAATATTGCTGAATCAAATTATTTTTCAAATTATTTCGTTGTATCTGCTATGCATTTTGATTTTGCAAATTATTACATATATATATTCTAACAGTAAGACTATGTTTAACCATCAAAAGTCTATCACTAGTGATCGGGAATTACATGTAGTTGAAATTTCATAATCTTGAATCTTTGAGATCCATATATGATATGTGAATCACTTTGATGATATTCAGTTATTTTTAACTGGGCACCTTTTTTCCCATGGCTTTTAATTGGGAAATGTGGTACAATACATCTCTTCTCTGTATTGCAATATATTTTAGTATCCTCGTACATTGTAATACCCGTTGTAATCAACAAGAAGTTAATGATCTTTTTGCTAAAGGCTAAAGATGTATTTGTAATTTAGTTTGGCAGCAAATGTAAAAGGAACAGGAAAATGTGTGTCTGTCTGTATGATATGATGCATTTCTGAGGTCCCATTTTTTAGCGGGTCCAGTTTCAGTGCCCCGATCTTTTGTGCGTTGTCGAGACCTTATCATATATTTGTTTATGTCATCAAATTTGGTAATGAATGTAAACACTGTTGGATGCGTAGGATAATTTTTTTTAAAAAATACCATTACCTTCGGTCAGGCTATTCTACCAACACCATCCATAAGTATATGATTATACAGTTTTTTTGGACCTGATGTGATTTTCCACAAATTAATTCTAGTAAATGTGAGTATCCCCTGGATTGCTGGAACAGTGTATAATCATTTCGAAATGTCTTAACGTTAAGAATCATTAACTGTATCACAAATAGATGGAAAAATCGAAATAATTTTGTTAACATCTTTTCCTCAATATATTTCCATTATTTTGGAAAGTAGGGTATCACAGAATTTACGGTAGATGTCTATGTGCTATAAACAGACAGGTACTGAAACTTGGTAAGTATAATGATGAAAGATTTTTAAGCTGTCACTGTAAAGGAAGTGATATCAAACTGAGAGTCCAGGTAGAAGCACGGAATTAGAGATTTATTATCTAAGTCCGTGGTAGAAGTAGAAACTATTTGTAAATAGCATGCAGCACAAGTTTTTTTTAAATCACTCTAAGCCGTTTATTCGATAATGTTTTTTTCTCTCTGTTTTGGGGGCTCCAAAACTGGCCACTGGACTTAAACTTAAGAGGGCGAAATGACCCTACGGAACTGGAGCGTAACTGTAAACAAAATCATCAAGACTACAAATCAAAATTACACAGTGTTTTTTTTAATTATGTGTATAGCAGTTTTATAATTTGGAATTGTCTAGTTAAATAACAGGAAAACATTGCAAAAAAAGGACATTCCAAGCAGTGACCCCTAAGCTTAATTAATTAGCCTTCAGGGTGTCAAATTCGGACAGCTCGCGACTGCGGAATGCAACATGCAGGAGACGAATGCATCGTCCTTTTTATCCATTTATTACACTCAAAAAGACATTTTACATGAAGGATAATAAAAAAGACCAAACAATACGTATTATTTTACCTGGAATATGCCATGAATGACAAACTTATCAACAGGTCGGTCGAACACATTCAGTTTCGGTCGATCTCCAACAACATCGCTGTCAGTTGTTACTTTATAAAGGAAGTGACGTTCGCTGCAAACGCACAAAAGATCTTGACTACGAATTCAGTTTCAACACATCTGATTGGACGAGTGCATGGTGTTAAGGCCGGTATGCCCCCAAACTATTGCAAAGTCATATATATTCCACTTTGGAATTTCAAAATCACTAAAAAGGCCACTAAAACACCATCAATTTACACTATGATATTTCTGGATATTTGATGCATTGACCTTTAAGGAAAATTCAATGAAATGCAGGAATGTCTCGCCTCGAAAAACTTCATCGTGCGGAGAGACATTATAATATAGCCTCTTTCATGAAAGTCGGTGATACTGTATAGCTTTAACCACGGACTTAGATAATCTAATTCCGTGCTTTAACTATTTGAGGTTCAGAACAAATGGACATGCGCAAAAAACTTAAGATATATGGCAGAGTATAATTAATCAACTTCAATTATAATACGAACTGTAATTCAGTCACTGAACGGTTGGAATTAATAGCCTCCCATTTGTCGTACAATAAAAAACACATAGAAAATGTCTGTATGACATAAATGCCCCCGCTGCCATGTGCAATTAGGTTCAATGTTCTATAAAAAGTTACAACCACTTTGATCTTGATACCCTGAAACATGCACACACACAATTAAGGTACTACACTTCAAGTTGATAGGTCGATTTTAATATTCATATGCTTTTTCTGTTTGTTATTACCATCTGCATAAGATATTGAATGAAGTTGCTAATTGTTTAAATTGAATCAGTTGGTGATTTTCTATATATAGCAACAGTGACCTTGGCCTTGACCGTGGAACCCTGAAACGCAACAATGTCCGAAGTATATTCATACTTGACCTTTGCATAAAGTTTGAGCAAAATCCATGAAAGAATGATGTTGCTAAGTGTTTAAATTGAATTAGTTGATTATAGCAAGTGTGACCTTGGCCTTGACCGTGGATCCCTGAAAAACAACGATGTCCGAAGTATATTCATACTTGACCTTTGTATAAAGTTTGACCACAATCTGTCAAAGAATGAAGTTGCTAAGTGTTTACATTGAATCGGGACGGGACGGGACGGACATGGGCAACATTTTATAGCGGGGAAACTGGAAAAGCATCAAAACCAGAGATACATTCTAATGCATTGTTGGGTGCGTAAGGACGAAAATTATTGTAATTTATATGTTAATTTGATTCAGGTGAAATTGTCCTTTGAAATACATGCAATACCTTAAAATGTATAGTTCAGTAAATTGATTTCTTGTAATAAATTATCCAATATAGGCCTAACCACGAACTCAGATATATATGTCAATTGCAGGAAAAACGGAAATATGATTTTCAACTAGATTAATTACGTGAAAAATATTGTCAGTATCTAATATATCGGCTTAACTTAATATGGAATCTACAGGAAACAACTTATTTATTTTAATTTTCTTTATTTTTTTTTTATTTTTTATTGAGAAATGGTTAACGATCAATATAGACACGTATTGCGATCTAAAGGACAACTATACCACATATATGAACCACAGAATTTCGTGTATCAAATTCAAATTTACATTTGGCTAAAGAGCACAAATATGTTTGCCTACAACTATACATCCTCGATATCCAGGGGTCAAGCTCACTCTAGATAACTCTGGATATCGAGGATGACAACTATAGTGATGCCTGTTACATGAAGCAGTCAGAGAATTTAATTGGAACGATCAGCCACACTTGATGGGTTGATTTATTTGATTTTGATTTAAACATATTTATTGCCCCAAATTTGAGCAGAGGATTAGGCACAAGTTATATCAACTTATCAACGCCTTTTCCTCTAATACAGTACATATTGATATTTACATGATAGCATTTAACAATAAAAATAAACCTAAATTTATGATTATTATATTTTATTTAAAATCTGTTGCTGGATTTGATAAAAAGTTGCACGTGTTTGAATACTTCTGTATTGGTATCTACGGACAGATTTTCATTCCCAAATAAAAATAAACCTAAATTTACTGGATATTATATTCAACGTGTTTATGTTTTGAAATAGCGTAATTCGTGCTGTATTAAAAAGTTTACATGCTAAGAAAAAATGACCAACATCCTCACAGGAATGTCCACAAGCGCATGATGGATTATCAACGATCTTAACACGGAACAAATCATTTTTCAAAGAGCTGCACTGATGCCTGAGTTTCGTATGTAATATATTAAATTGCGTTCGCCAAAATTATAATAAGATGGTGGAGACGAATTTGCACCACTGGAGATGGCAATGTTCTTATTGTATTGTCTAACGAATTCCAAAGACGTAAACTCGATGGCAAAAAAGAAGAGTTGCTTGAGGAGAGTCTGAAAGAATGAATATCATAATCATATAGGTTCCGTAAATTGTACCGATTGTTGTTACCCACTGTATTTGGTAAAAGGGTCGATAAATAGCTGGGGGTTAAATTGTTTTTCATTTTATATAAAATGTTCAATTTTCAAAATATAATGAATCATTACTTGTATAAGAAGGCAGTCCTGTTATAACTCGAGCCGCCTCTCTTTGAGCTTTCTCTAATTTCTCGGATTCAAAAGCAGTGCAACCATCCCATAATTCACAGGCATATTAAAAAACTGGTAAAATGATAGATTTATAAATTTTTAAAAGTGAATCTCTTTTCAACAAGTATTTGAGATTTCGTAAAACATTAATCTTTTTCATAACCGAACTATAAACTGCCCCAACATGACTCCCCCATTTTCCATTTGAATTGAAATTTACTCCTAAATGTCTATGTCTAAATTTTCCCCATCAAACATCAAATCCAAGTCATCGTCAATATCGTTTGCATTTGAAATAAAAAGAACGTTCGTTTTTTGAGGATTAAAAGAAATCAAACAACGTTTAGCCCACTGATTTAAAGATTCTAGGTCCTTGTTTAGTACAGTCTGTATTTCATAGCATGAAAAATCTGCAAATAACCGGGAGGCCGAATCAAGTACATCATTTATCATTTATATATATCAAATAGAGAAGCGGCCAGAGTATTGACCCTTGAGGTACACCTGCGTCAATATTACCTAGTTCCGAAAATGAATTTACCAATTAAAACTTTCTGTTTGCGCCGGCATAGATACTTTTCGAGCCAATGCAATAATTCCCCTGAAATTCCGTACGCTTCTAACTTTGCTATCAAGCCCCTGGCCCTGTGCCAAACACGATCAAACGTTTTTAATATATCACAAAAAATAAAGCAGGTATGTTTTCTTTCTTCTAAAGCAATACACATATTATGGTAAATTTCAATAAGTTGATAAACAGGAGGATGACAAGGCATTAAACCTGACTGGTATCGATAAAACAAGTTAGTTTCAAAAAAATAGTTATACTAGTGTTTGTAAACTACACGCTCAAACACTTTACCAACTGTAGATAGTAGGGATATATAGGTTTATAGTAACATGGCGTATGACGATCACCCTTTTTGAAAAGCGGCATAACATTTGCAAGTTTCCATTTATTTGGATATACGCACGAAAAAAGTGACATGTTAAAAAGTATTTCAAGTGGTTTGCAGATAGAGTTAGCAGTATACTTCAGCACATGACTACTCACTATCGCTCTCTGCATCCCTGGTATATGTCATAACAAAATTGAAGGCTCAGTGTGTACCACCTTGTTGATGAGACAAGAAGACTAGTTCGACCCTTTGGTGTACATCAAAAGAATCTCGCGGTCACGTAACGGTAAAATAGACAGGCTTTGAAGTCGAGTGTCGCTCCTTTGTAATCTTTAAATGACAGGTATCAGCGTAATTATTGATCAGGATTATTTTTTTCCTGAGACCAATCAAACAGCTATGTTCGTGCCTTCAATTTTGCTATGACATATTCCAGGGGTGCAGAGAGCGAAAGGGAGCCTAATCCCTGGATATCGAGGATGACACTAGACATGAGCATTACTGATGAAATAGCATAACGATGACGTCACGAGTCGATGTTGGCTACAATGCAAGTACTTCTGCTATTATGGTTATTGTTTTTATTAAAAATAGTCGTGATACTTTCTTTCATCAGAAAAAAAACGAAAATTAACTTCAAATACTATGAACTACAAATTGTGTCTTATGTCTAGAATCATACAGAATATACTGATGCATGTATATAACAACTAAACACATTTTAAAGGTATCATTAAAAAAAACTCACAAATATATTTAGACGTTAACCAAAATTTCATTTTTCAGAATAAACATTTTTACAATTTTGCCATTGATCATAGTTTACACCATTCTCTTGACACTAGACCACGGAAAACATATGAGCCAAAAACATTTCCTGCACGGATATCAAATTCTATTTATAACATTTACTTTCGATTTGAACGGATGTGACGTCATATAAACAATTGGTATGTATATCTTACAGACTAAATAATAGGCGAAATATTTTGCGATGATATTTTGGTGTTTTCATATCTTTCTTCTATAATTCAGATAAACGAAGTACTTTTATTGAAAACATGTTGTATTTGGATATATTGCGAGAATGATTCGTATGAATTCTTTGTGTTTCAAATATATCTTTCGCACAATTTACACTATTCTTTTATTTGAACGAACACCGGCTATCGTCCATTTTGTTTCATGACTTGCTGAAACAGTGTTGAAAATGCCAGACCATTTAGGTTCAGACCAAAGAAAAATAAAGGACAATAAGGAAGAGGACGATAAACCAATCCAGGGTACGCATTGATATCTATGTTGTAACACAATTGCATTGTGACTCGATACGGTAGCCGAGGATTAGACTTAGGGAAAATGTATCTAGGCCTACACCTGACACTGTTGTGTCAAAAAGATGTCAGACCATTATTGCAGTACTGAAATGGGAAATACAATGAACTAAAAATGCATTTGAGACATAAATGGTGTCATTCTTATAACTTATCGGATTGTCCAAAAAACATCAACTGAGGTGTATATCAAAACGTTAATTCTGATGTCTTAAACTTTTTGCAGTTGGGTAATAATCCTGCATTTTGGTAACAGTCCACTGAAATGGGGAAAAAAGTGAAATGAAAAAACACAAAGTTCTTTTAAAAACTTGGAGCATAAAAGGGCGCTATTCTTTTAACTAAATCCAATAAATAATACAATGAAGTACATTTGTACACAAAAACTATCAATTCTGATGTCTAACTTTTTTTTGTGAAAATGACAAACCATCCCACTGATTTTGTTCTCGATTGACTTCAGTGTGTAGTCAAAAGGGTCATCCGGTGCAAATGTGATAGGTGATCATGATTTTTCTGTGTACATTTTGTTGTCCACAATTCTATTTTTTATTGGATTTAATATGTTGAAAGAATGACATCCATTTTTGTGGGAAGTGTTTAAAAGAACTTTGTGTTTGTATTTCACTTTATTCCCCATTTCAGTAATATAATTGTTACTCAAATGCAGGATTATTACCCATATGCACCGTTGTGCTCCTATTGTTTTGTAAACGCCACAAAATGGATCACATCCATTGTGAGATGAGGTAGGCAATAGGTTCTGTCCCCAGACCGGGACATACCAAAGTCTTTAAAAATGGTAGTTGTTATTCCCTGCTTAACGATCAACATTGAGGGTAATGGCAACAACTGGTTCACCTGTTGTCAGTATATATATACGTAATCAGGCAGAATACTGTGCTGGGTGCCTTCGGCATGGTGTTTTAGTGAGATATAGAGAATAATACATGCCTTTTTCCATATCGCACCCAGTATCAACCCGAGACTGCAATATCAGCCCAAGGCCCGAGGGCTAATATTGGTCGAGGGTTGATACTAGGTGTGATATGGAAAAAGGCGTGTTTTATTCTGTTTATTACATATTTACTAATAAAAACTACTATCTTATGATTTAATTTTCTTTTTGAATTATTGAAAAACGGAAAAAAATCCCAAAGTGGTGTGATATGGGTTTTGCGGGCTGATACAGGTTTTGGGGTGTGATACGGCGAGGGCTGATATGGGTTAGAGCAATTGTGTCGTATCGCATATACAAAAAAAACGTATTTATCAGTAAGTATGTAATAAAGCACTATGAAGTCGGCATCAGATCCACACTATTACAAGGAGGCAAATATATCAACATACCCTGTCTCCAGCATACATACACACTTGCACGCGTACACAACACACTGTCACATGAAGGCACATCCTTAAATGACCTTAGATGTTACTGGGACTTAAAATAAAACCAAACCAACACATCCATTGTGCATGCATGTGTAGAGTACATGGCTGTAAATAGAAAAAAATCATGCTGATCACCTGTCACATTTGTACTGCTTTCTCTCAAAGATAATACTGTATTCAACAGGACAAAGACATTGTTGTGGTTGGTCATTTTAACAAAAAAATATTCAAAACGCATTTGCTAAATTCTTGTCTACTCAGGGCATTTTTGAAACTAACAAATATACTCAAGGTAATATTGAAAATTTCACTATTCCAAGCATAATATCTAGGTGTCAGGTCATTTTGCCCTAAATCCCGATATTCACCAAGGGTTGTTTCACCCTAAAAATATTTTTAGTGTGAATTATTTTAGTCCTGTTTAGTTGTGTATGGCTCCCTCTTAGCTTTTTTCTTGTTATAAAACTCAATAGATTTGTAAAGAACCTTGGATGAACAGGAATAAGGGCGAAACGACCTAAGCTGGAACCCAATATCTTCTAGTCCTCAGTGCCATTATACTAGTGGAATTTTACTTCTCAATTAGTTTTTTCTTCCAATAATCTGCATACCACCTCTGGTGTATCGTTGCAGTTAAGAGTGTGCCTCATGTATTATGCCCTTTTTATTTGATTATGTTATAAGATTAGCAACCATTTTGTTCGTAATTTTCTACATTTTACTTTATTCCCCATTTCAATAATAAACACAAATGGTGATACAATATTTCTTCTTGTGCATTACCACATGATCTGTGATAAAATACATCATAGTGAATAATTGTGTGACTTTATTACTTCTAATATTGAAATACTTCTTGACTGGTGTTTTAATTGGCTGCATATTGGAAGGTGACTTGATCAGTTTTATTATAATATAATCTAAAGATATATGGTGTCTGACATTAACTAAAAACATACCAACCGTTTACAAAATGCAATACACTATATATAGATATGTCGATGCACTATCAAAATCCAAATATCAGGTGTTAAAAATCTTTTTACATGATAAGTTTTTGATTCTTTTAATTATATTGCTTACCAACTTTGTATCGTTCTAATGTTTTTTTACAGCTTTGGATGAAGGTGATATAGCCCTCCTAAAGACTTATGTGAGTATAAAGAATAGCTAGGAAAAAAGATATTTCTGGTAACTCGTTGATATTGTTGTCTATGTAAACTATCGCTATCAAGCTACTTAACATGTATCTTAGTACTGTTGAAGTCAAAATATCTGCTTTACAGAACCTACAAAAATAAATTCAATGTTATATAAACAGAGTATAAATTGATAAATGTGGTAAAAAATGTAATTCCCCCCTCCTACCAGCACTACATAAAAATACCAAAACAATTACCGTAAATTTGGGTATAGTGGACACTCGGGTATAGTGGGCAGGTACGTTTTTGGGGTCAGATTTGAGGAAAAAAATGAAAATAAAAATGAAATTGTTGAGAAGTGTCAATAATTTTCGCTGAAGCATGGTGATCCTAGCTACCTAGCCTATTTGTCCGGGATAAGACGGAGGTTATTCCCTCCGGTCAACATACTTGTAAAAATGTTAGCTGTGCCGTACTAGTGTTTGTCATCAAATACGCAGTCATGACCACAGATTACCGATTTAAATCATTTAAGCGAAGGTAAACATTTTTTAATCTTCAATCTTATCATATATGACAGACGACTCCAAATAAAACTATTTGAAGGGAGGTTATCCAATATGGCGGACCAGAAACTCGAGAACGATAACCCAAGAATGACTTGTTCCTGCCTATAGTGCGCACACCCTTTTTGACATGACTAGACAAGGGGAAATGAGAACTGTATGTATTATATACTAGACAAGTGGAAGTGAATACTGTTTGTACTATATACTAGACACGGGGAAGTAAGTACTGTATGTACTATATACTGGACAAGGGGAAGTGAGGACTGTATGTACTATATACTGGACAAGGGGAAGTGAATACTGTATGTACTATATATTAGACAAGGGGAAGTGAATACTGTTTGCACTATATACTACACAAGTCGAAGTGAGTACTGTATGGACTATATACTAGACACGGGGAAGTAAGTACTGTATGTACTATATACTAGACACGGGGAAGTAAGTACTGTATGTACTATATATTAGACAAGGGGAAGTTAGAACTGTATGTACTATATATTAGACAAGGGGAAGTTAGAACTGTATGTACTATATACTGGACAAGGGGAAGTGAGTACTGTATGTACTATATACTAGACAAGGGGAAGTGAGTACTGTAAGCACTATATACTAGACAAGGGGAAGTGAGTACTGTATGCACTATATACTAGACAAGGGGAAGTGAATACTGTTTGTACTATATACTACACAAGTGGAAGTGAGTACTGTATGTACTTTATACTAGACAAGGGGAAGTGAGTACTGTATGTACTATATACTAGACAAGGGGAAGTGAGTACTGTTTGTACTATATACTACACAAGGGGAAGTGAGAACTGTTTGTACTATATACTAGACAAGGGGAAGTGAATACTGTATGTACTATATACTAGACAAGGCGAAGTGAGTACTGTATGTACTATATACTAGACAAGGGGAAGTGAGTACTGTTTGTACTATATACTACACAAGTGGAAGTGAGTACTGTATGTACTATATACTACACAAGTGGAAGTGAGTACTGTATGCAAAGTCTCGCCCAGTTGACTATATAGCAGTTACTTGATATACACTGTACACTGATAACATTTTGTAACATTTTGTTTAATAGGGTGTGGGACAGTACAGTAAAACTATAAAAGCATGCGAGGAAGACATTCAGAACATCATGAAGAGGGTCAACGAGCTCGCAGGTATGTAACAGGGTCAATTAGTTGTCACATATGTAACAAGGTCAACAAGCTCTTGGGTATGTAACAAGGTCAACAAGTTCTTGGGTATGTAACAAGGTCAACAAGCTCTTGGGTATGTAACAGGGTCAACAAGCTCTCGGGTATGTAACAGGGTCAACAAGCTCTTGGGTATGCAACAGGGTCAACAAGCTCTTGGGTATGTAACAGGGTCAGCAAGCTCTTGGGTATGTAACAGGGTCAACAAGCTCTTAGGTATGTAACAGGGTCAACAAGCTCTCAGGTATACAACCAGGTCAACAAGTTGTCAGGTATGTAACAGGGTCAACAAGCTCTCAGGTGTGTAACAGGGTCAACAAGCTCTTAGGTATGTAACAGGGTCAACAAGCTCTCAGGTATGTAACAGGGTAAACAAGCTCTTGGGAATGTAACAGGGTCAACAAGCTCTTGGGAATGTAACAGGGTCAACAAGCTCTTGGGTATGTAACAGGGTCAGCAAGCTCTTGGGTATGTAACAGGGTCAACAAGCTCTCCGGAAGGTTACAGGGTCAACAAGCTCTTGGGTATGTAACAAGGTCAACAAGTTCTTGGGTATGTAACAAGGTCAACAAGCTCTTGGGGATGTAACAAGGTCAACAAGCTCTTGGGTATGTAACAGGGTCAACAAGCTCTCCGGAATGTTACAGGGTCAACAAGCTCTTGGGTATGTAACAAGGTCAACAAGCTCTTGGGTATGTAACAGGGTCAACAAGCTCTCAGGTGTGTAACAGGGTCAACAAGCTCTCAGGTATGTAATAGGGCAAATGAGTTTTCAGGTATTTAACAGGGTCAACAATTTCTCGGGTTTATCAGTAAGGCATCAATTACATGTAGCTCTCTAGTGTGTAAAAAGTAGAGCCAGCAAACTCTAGGGTACCAATATGTAAAGTGCAACGTTTGCACTTGGTTATACTCCTGGTTTTATCTTTAGATTTATCTTTATCACTTCATAAATATAGAGAATGTCAAAAGTTTAAGTGACATGGTAAGCAATACATACATAGGAGGATCTTACTTCAAACTTGTCAACCTTTATGTGTTTTTTGTAATGACCACAACATAGAAGTGGAAGAAGACTAAAGTAGGCAAAAGTTTTGGCAATAGGAGAAACATAGGCAGAGTTTTTGGGACATTGTGATAACATGTTTGTTTACTTTCTTGAATTGACCACTCATAATGAGTTTTTCTGTTTAAATAAATAAATGGTGATGAAGTAGTTTGGAACCTATAATAAATAAACTGATATAAAATTGGAAGTAGAAGAATAACCAAAAAATGTTTTAGAGAGCCAATTTGGGTTATTTTTCAGTAAAATTGTAAATTTTTATCTTATTTGATATGGTCATGCAGTAAAGGTTGACATTATGTTTTAACAGGCATCAAAGAGTCGGACACAGGATTGGCCCCTCCAGCACTGTGGGATCTGGCGGCTGACAAACAGACGTTACAGAGTAGGTACAACATTGAAGTGAAGATTATTTTAATTGATGTTTTAAATATGTTCCCCTTTGTGAGAGTGGAGGCATATTTTTTCAAAGCCTGATTAACCCTTTCACCCCTATGTGTCTTTAAGTAGACTTTACTATGCATTGTTATGGATGAGTCTATTATGGTCTAGAGTGTTGAAAGGGTTAATGAACTTCCCTGAAATTACGAAAGTTGAAGCACCTGTCAAATAGACACATCCTTTAATTCCAAGAGTCGAAGCTCATTTTGGGGTGTCAAAAATATACTCTCATGTGTTGACTGAAAGCCCTGGGCCATTACATCTTAGCATGTGGGCATGACGAGACACTTAGATAGACATTCATCAATGCTACTAGTATACGCATCGTAATCTTGTTTGTCTTTAGTCCCCAAGTCATAACATTAAAAGAGTCGAGGTCCTTTGCTTATTACCATTTACAATGTACATTTGTTTGGATTTCAACCGAATTTGCTATGGTTCGTTGATCCTTGCGACCTTGAAGCCAACTGTTTTATAAAGAAAGAGTATGGCTCCCCTGGGGATTAAAGATTCCGTTCAGGCTCTTGTGGCCCTCCTGTTCATTGGTGTTACAATTTGACAATCTTCAAATTTGTTTTTTGTGTTTTGTTTGCATCATAGGTGAACAGCCTTTGCAGGTGGCTCGGTGTACCAAAATCATCAATGCAGACTCTGACGACCCAAAATACATCATTAATGTCAAACAGTTCGCCAAATTTGTCGTCGATTTAGGTGACCAGGTGGCACCTACAGATATTGAGGAGGGCATGAGGGTTGGGTAAGTATAGCTGTATAAACGTTAAAAAATACAGCCTTTATGTTCACATTTCTGTCTATGATTAGAAATAGTCAGAAAGTACTTCGGATTAACGTGTTACATGTACTGCTTTCTGTGATGTACATCGACTCATGTGTGTCATATCAAGAATACTGCTACTATTCCAATCGAACAATAAACTCTGATGTCAAGTTTTTCGTTGGCTGCATTTGATTAGGCCAGTGGTTCAGATGGTACAGGTCATAAGTCATTTGACTACCCATTTAATCAATCTGTGACTGATTGGAAAAAAAGAAAATCCTTAAAAACTTAACAAAATATCTCGAAAAGATATGATGTTCAGTATTAAAGGTATTTACTTTTCGAAGCACAACCGTGCAAAGATAACAGTAAATATAATATACAGAAGAATAAGTACATCTTAATCATCAATGTACAATACATATTTGTTTGTTTGATTGTTCAGTGAAAGTGAACCAGGTAACTATAAGCCTTTTTCAAAGGTGAGATCCCAGGCCAGTGGTTGATTTGGTTACCTATGGGAATATGTGTCAAACCTGGAAAAAATGGGTTCCCTATCAAATTGTTAATTGTTAAACTGCCCAGCAATGATCAAATCTGACCAATACAGCATCAACACGGGTAAAACGTCTGTATATACCATCATGGCTTGTATGTGCTTGTTACAGTGTTGACAGAAATAAGTACCAGATACACATACCACTACCCCCAAAGATCGACCCTTCGGTGACCATGATGCAGGTTGAGGAGAAACCAGACGTAACATACAGTGATGTTGGTGGATGTAAGGAACAAATCGATAAACTGCGAGAGGTCGTGGAAACTCCCCTTCTACATGTGAGTACTACATTAATTTGTATTAACATTTGTAAAATCAGGCATTAATAGAATATACACAGTGAATGTTTACTTCCTATCTATAATATGGCTATTCTATATTTAGAATAATTTTATGATAGAGGAAGGAACCACAATGCTTCCCTTTCCACTCACTATACAGATGGTAACAATTATTGTTACCCCATAACATCATACCTGATATAACCCTACTAATAAAAATGTTCTCTTTAGATAGGTGGTCATTTTAATATTTATGTAATTGGGAAAGTAGTAGAGTTATGCTGTAACGATTTAGAATTTGTCACACTTCAAAACAATCATGAGCTTTATATTCGGACTCATTGCTTGTCAATGCAGAGTTTTGTCATGGAAGGGAGTTAACTCTACAGAACCTAAATAATTATATATTTAAAGTTACCAGTGATTTCGGGGATTTTTTTGATTTTTCTATTTGATGAAGGTTCATACTGTACCGTACTAGTCATCGAAATGTCGTACATGAACTTCTATACAATCTAGATTAATTTTGAAGGGAAAAAAAATCAATTTTGCTACATTTCCTTACATGTGCAGTAGTAAACATATGATTAAACTGATCAGAAATTAATTTGCTTTTTATTGTGAAAAGCTCAAACATTCTGACAAATACAACAGACAGGCAGATATGTAATGTTTGATCCTTTATTAAAAACCTGATTGATAATAAAAGATTTCTTGTTGTTTTTCAGCCTGAAAAGTTTGTGAACCTTGGTATTGAGCCCCCAAAGGGAGTGTTGCTGTTTGGACCCCCGGGGACAGGGAAGACCCTTTGTGCCCGAGCGGTGGCTAACAGAACAGATGCCTGCTTTATCAGAGTCATAGGGTCAGAGCTGGTCCAGAAATATGTAGGAGAAGTAAGTACCTAGCATTTCACTGGACTGTAGGCAAAATCAAAAATGAAAACTATATCTGGCTTAAAGATGATCCCACACCATTGAATAATAGAATGCATTTCATCAGTTTGTATGTTTTTATCCCTACTCATAGACTTGGTTATTGTCTGTCTGTGCAATTCAATGACAATAAATGTTTTGTCCATATTTGGGTAACTTTAAGTGCCATATGGATTATACTTGCATTCCCTTTTTAATGCATTATTTAGTCAATACATTTGTATTTTGACTTAGAGCTTCCTATATTTGCTTAAAATTTTACTAAATTTTCTTGTGGCTTTATCAGAAGCAAATGAGTATTTTAAAGAATGCTGACTGTTTCTACTGAAGGAAGTGAGAAAATATTCAGGGGACCAAGGTTTTAAAAAACAGCAACTTTTTTATCCACAGGGGGCAAGAATGGTCCGGGAATTATTTGAGATGGCCAGATCTAAGAAAGCCTGTATCATCTTTTTTGATGAAATTGACGCCATTGGAGGTAAGTAATAACTTCATGGTTTCTGTATTTTTTGGGAATCTGAAACGGCTGTCCTGGGGTTTAAATTAACTACCCTCAGACAATGATATGCTATAATTATTGTAAACCACAATTATTTTTTTATCTCACCGAATTTTCAACTTCTGGTCTTATTTAACAAACTTCCCCATGTTATTAAATATGCCCTCTTGTAAAAGGAAAAAAAGAAAACTTCAAAGGATGAAAAAAAGACTGCAAGCAATTCCGGTAAAGTACTGAAACTCCTGCTCATGTTCAATGAAAAAATATGAATTTCAGACTCTGATATTAAGCTTATGAATATTGATAAAATTGTTGGATCCTGTATTTAATCCTTTCACCACTGTAGACCATAATGGACTCACCCATATCAGTGCATGGTCGAGTCTACTAAAGTTACATAGGGGTAAAGGTTTAATGGTGAATCACTATAACAATGACAGTATGTGTTAACAGGGGCGCGGTTTGACGACGGAGCTGGTGGAGACAACGAGGTACAAAGGACCATGTTGGAGCTGATCAACCAGCTAGATGGGTTCGATCCACGTGGCAACATCAAAGTTCTTATGGCCACTAACAGACCCGATACACTCGACCCTGCCCTCATGAGGCCCGGCCGTCTTGACCGTAAAATAGAGTTTGGTCTTCCAGATCTTGAGGTATATATTGAGAATTCCTAGCAGAGTGGTTGGTTATAGTGTTTGTCCATGTTGTGATGTTAATTAAAAAACAAAAACAAAACTTGTATCAAATCTATTGAGTTTGTCAACTTTCTTTTAAGGGTAATATTTTCTTTAGAGTGACATAAACATGATCACAAATCATAGCAATTAAGTATTCTTTTAATATCCATAATATGAGTTTATTACAGTTTTATTGCTTAAAAAAAATCACAGACTTGGTCTCCAATGGGGATGGATTGCTCAAATAAATGTTGCTGCAATGTAAATTATTTAGTGTGAGACATTGTATAATATGTTTCATATGTTTATGTTATATTTACCTTTCATGCAACAAATAACAAATTGGAAAATTGTTAGTCAATATCTATTGTATTTCTGTTCCAGGGAAGATCCCACATCTTTAAAATCCATGCCAGATCTATGAGTGTAGAAAAAGATATACGATATGAGCTTCTAGCGAGACTGTGTCCTAACAGTACAGGTAAGGGGAACAGTTTTATTTTGAATCCCGATTTATTAAAAGATGTTGAATCTAGTTTTAGGCTTGACAGAAATTTGTTGATCTATCATCTCTGGAAGAATAAATTGGTTTATCTTAAAGGGGAGATAATTACGTTTGGCATAATCCAACTTGAAAAGTTTGTACTGGGGAAAATGTATCTCTGGATGGTAGTAATTTGTTGATTTTATCATAGATCAGGAGATTGTTGCAGTATAGTTTATGTCTCGGGGGGGGNTACAATACAGTTTATATCTCGGAGGGGAATATATGTACACCAGAGTTTATTTGAGAAATAGAGACATGCTCAGCAAAGTTTATGATGTCACAGAAGGATAAGTTTTAGAGATTATTTGGTGCAATGCAGCAGAGTGGATGGTACAAAGATGTTTGTACACTAGAGTGTAACTGAATAAAACGTATCATACATAGTATCTCATGTTATCACGGAAATAAATATTTGTGCATTTTTTCTTGTGAACAGGAGCTGAGATTCGCAGTGTTTGTACAGAAGCTGGTATGTTTGCCATCAGAGCACGAAGAAAGATGGCGACGGAAAAAGATTTCTTGGAAGCTGTTAACAAAGTCATCAAAGCATATGCTAAGTTCAGTGCCACACCAAGGTATATGACATACAACTAGTCGGAGCTGTATAAAACACCTGGACGGGTTCATCATGGAGAAGACAATTTCTCAAAAAGTGTTTGATTCATGTTGGAATCTCCTCAAAATTCTATCAGATCATCAGAAAAAAGCCTTGAATGACAGTGTCATCATTGTCATTGCTAAGTGCTAGAACTTTTGTTGTATCAGACTGTCTTTGAAGAAATTGAATTCAAAGTTGTCATATTGAGATATGGACTCAGTATATCTGTAGAAGAGTCTCACTATCAGGTCACTCTAATGTTGACCACGAATCATGGCATTATACCATATGGATAGAGAATACCGCTGTGGTTGCTATATCCTATGGTCCAGTCTGTTCATACAGAGTTAAGATGCTTTATAAATAGTAAGCCAGTTAAAAAATATATATTGATTTACATTGATATACTTCACCCTGGAGATTGATCAAGTTGCATAAGAAAGATGGGTGACAATTTGTTAGCCATTGTCTGTATAGTTGAATTCTATGAAAGATACAGACTTAGTGTGTTTATGTGAGGCAGAAACAAATTTGTTCACAAATTTTGTGATTTCATCGAATGAATAAGTTATGACATATGTGTGAAAGAAATATTCTGTATGTTCAACTACACGTAATAAAAAAAAATAAAAAAAAATCATAGCCGGTGTTTGTTTTTAATTATTGCAAGAAGGTGACTTGGGAATCACTATAAACCACTTACCTTTTTGCAAAATGTTTATATTCCCATTAATTCACTCCTTTCGTTCCTGTTTGATGGGAGATGTATGCTATTTTTTAAGTGAATTCAGATCTTCAAAAACAGTATCACAAACAACTAAATATAGAGTTTATTTTACTTTAAAAGGTGTACAATTATTGTAAAGAAAGAATGTCTAATCGACCATGTTTGATAACTAAATCATACCTACATACTGAAACATTACACAGATTGTAAAACAGCACAGGAAGAGCTATGTTTTACGGATTTTTTCTAATTTCGTGTTAAAGCCAAAACCACGACAGTGAGACGTCATTGTACTAGAGTTAACATGGACTCGGAAGGACTTGTGTATGGTCAGGATTAATCCTGAACATCATATTTAGGATTCGTTGTTTCAGCTTCATATCTCAAAAGTTCACTCTGATTATAATAATGGACACCTCATAAACAATCTCAACGACTTTGATTGTGTGAACATTGATTGCCTTTTTCTAACTTTTAGTCGTAACATATATATATACCAGCTTCCCGTGCTTACAGAGTTTTAAATTGGGTAGAATCAACTAATTTTTGGCCGACAGCTTTTTTTCTCTCAACCTGACGATGCTTCAATCTGTCATTGTAATTGTAACCAGAATGTGGAATTGCAGTGCCATGAAAAAAGATCAAGACACGTTCATCATTACCGACTTACTTCCATTGATTTGACAGGAAGTCTTCACAGGGACCTGATAATTTGTTACAGCTATATTTAGACCTAAACGTTTGGGGGTTTAGATTAATATTCGGTACCACCCAATGGTACGTATATTATCATCATTTGGGGTGGCATTTTTACCGAAAATTTATCTAACTTTTATGGAATATCATAATGTCTTTCTTTTTGTTTTGTTTTCGTGTTTACTCAATTCTTGTTAAACAAAAAATCAATTCGCAGATAAAGTTTCATTTGTTCCGATGCTTTGATGTTAAAGTTTATTTTATGATTTAAAAGTCTATTATAACTTCATCTTTTCTCTTTCTATAATTACAGATGATTTCTACATTGCTCATATAGCTATGACATAATTTTCATCACACCAGGATCTTGACCAACTGTTTTAAAGCGCTGTTTACTACAGGGGTATTTACTGAGATTTTCCAAATAGATCAAGTTTTTATCATCTGATCATCTGGTGTTGGGTGGCACTACGGTTAAAGCACAAAGAGTTACTAATTTATGTTAATAGAACTTTTTTCCCATAATTGTTAAAAGGTAAATAATGTTTAATTAAACAATTCTGGTCACTTTTTAGGTGGACGAGTGTGGGCATTTGTGATACTGCGGTGTGCATCATCTTGTCTTTCGCCCGTCGTTTCTTAATACTTTAAAGCATACAAAAATGATAAGACACTTTTAGAAGAATGAAAAAAAGTGTTTTAACTTTTCATTAGTACCACCAGTTAGAAAACATTCTAAATGTATGCAGAGGAATAACAATTGTAAAATAGCTCATTCGATTAACGAATAAATATGTATGTTTGTGGATATATATATAAATTGTGTTGAGTAATTATAACTGCCTCCCAACCCCGCTCCTTATATCTTGTCTTTAATGAGAAATACAGTGATAATTAGATAATTCATGGATAAAGGATGTATCACTTGTTAACCTACAGCTCGTCGTTAGTAGTGTGTGAGATAGCCTCATAACACCATGTTTATGTATATATGGTAGGTAGGGTTTATCTGACGTCTAAGATTGCACTCGGACGTATGCATTGCACTCGGGCTGTATCACACACACCTACAATTGATCTCTATATTCACACTATGTATAACTATTAGAAAAGAACTAATTCTTATTCATGTTAAATGTGCTTACCGAAAACTATGACGGAACAATGACGTACGTCACGTTACCATAGCGTGAAATGACGCTAAAATGTGCTGTACCGATTCTTGTTTCTATTCATCTATGTGATCAGTGGGAAATTACCCGTGCGTTTCATCCAAAAAGGACTGTGAATTGCATGACTTGATAACTAGCAGTATCATCAGGTAAATAACTGTTCACGAGTATTTTATTGGCCCGTTTTTTATTCGTTACAACACGAGCGCGTGTTATTAAGCCCAACAATACAGAAAATTAACGGGCATCCATCTTGTAGAAGAGGGAATACATCGAATTCATTCTGACGCAATTAAACTTTTTACAATCCTTTGACAGTCAGCTCTGAAATTAAAACAAAATAAAATGAATTAAAACATATTTCAAAATTGGCGACGTTTAGATTTCGACTTTTCTTTCTTCTTGACGTTCGTAATGATAATGCTTTATTCAGTAACATCATTTTTTAATAGTCTGTTGGACAACAGGTACAGGTAGGGCATGTGTCATGTAAACACTACGGTGAATACGGGGGAATTTAATCTTTAAGGTAAACATGTGATCGACTAAACATGCATCTTAATAAATCTGTTCAAATAGACTCACTATTAACGGGCAAGCTGGGGTGAGTCAGTATAATACACACGTGCTGTTTTTACCCATTTAATCAAAAATAACGGTTTGGGTAAATGCACATGCTGGTGGGAAAATATCCATTTAGACCCCAATTCCTATACTATTAAGAAAATATGTTCTTTCAAAGAAAAAACTATATTTTTTTTTATTAATTCCAGAAAAATCATAAACATGAAGAACCGTCTGAGGATGGAATACATCAGCTACGTTCCTTTACATTACTATTCTCTTAATTAAGCATACACATTCAAGTTTTATTATGATTAATAATCTGTGCAATTCTGTTTTGCAAGAAGGCTTTGAATTAAATATATGTATCTCACCAAAATTTCACACATAAAAAATCTTTATTTTGTTTTTTTGTTGTTGTAAATAACCAGTTTATCATTAATTTAAAATTTGGTTCACAAATATAACTTGCATAACATACGCCTAGAAAAATAAATATACAATGAATTGACTAGAATTAATTGACACGGGGATTGGGCGATATTTTGGTTAAAAAGCAGAACTTTATTCAGAAAAAGAGGGACAGGGATAAGAGAGACATAAGAGCAAGAAGAGAGGAGGAGAGATTCCCGACGAAAGCAGTAATTATTCATGAAAGGGTGATGATTGTAAATATATCGGTAAATGAAAAAAAAATCAGTAAAAAGAAGAGGAAAAAAAACTTGCAAAAAGAGGAGAGAGTAAAAAGTAGATTTACTTAGTTTTTATCCATAATAACAATATAGTTGCTTGGTTTATGTATCTATCTATATATATGACGTCACAACATATACTTCAAATAAACAGTCTGAATAATCTCCTAGAAGAGATGAAAGTACTAAAGACTCGTTAAGAATTTTTCTTTTTATAATATTTCTTCGTCCGTAAAGATCATTTTTCTGATTTATAATATATATATATATATAAATATCTAATTATCTAAAATATATATGATAGGCACTGAAATCTTTGATAAAAGAAGCTTCAATGTCATATTTTTTTGCTATGTAACATTTGATAGTGTATGCTGTTTTCAGTTTACTGAGTAGAGTAGGTAGGTAAAGCTCTTTGCAAAAACACTTTTGACAATAAATGTAGTGCTTCATATTTAGAATTATGACATTTTCTGCCCTGTTATTCAGATTTTTATTTTGTGTTATTTCCCCAAAAATAACATCTTTTTTACATTTATTAAAAGCCACATTATAAGTAGTTTGGATCCAAATTTGGAAGCAAGAATAACATTTTGGACTTTATTATATTCCCATAGTACATGCTGAATAGATTCTTTTTCTATGATGCAAAAATGACACATATCAAACTGAACCAAATTTATCTTTTTCAAAAAGGTGTTTGTAACTAAAATGTGATGATTAATTCTAAATTGCAGCCATTGTAATTTTGAATTTGTATTAGTGTCAAAAGGTAGTTTGTATATTTTCTTCCAATCCTCACTTGGTATATTTCCAAATACATTATTCCACTTTATTTGACCTGTAGGCACTACATTATTTTTGTTTAGCACATTGTACATTTCCTTTGTACCTTTTTTATGTTTGATAATTATATTTGATATACCGTGGTATCAATGGTAGTGTAAGCTTTTTTAAGAACAAACTATTTCTGTCTGAGGATTTGGGTATGCAAATTGTTCAAAGATAGTAAAATCCCACTTAATGATGATAATAATAAAACATTTATTTATTGTATTAATTTAGGAAATGTTGTCTTTTAAACTGTATTCTGCTGCACCCGTTTAGAAAAGGGGGCGGGGTGGGGGTATTGACGCGTAATATATCTAACAACTGAAATAGTTATAGAAAAACTATTATCACCAAATAAAGTATTGAAAGTATTATTTTTTTAGTAAAACAACTTTAATTAATTGCTGTATTTGTTGAGAAACCACAGTATTTCTTAGTAAAGCTCATGTTGCTAATTTTAGTATTTATAGTAAAATTCATCTTAACAATGTTTGTATCGATATGAAAAATTCTCTTCCTTATCAAAGTATTTCAGGATAACCGCTTTCATTAATAATAGTTTTTTAGTAAACCCATTTTACTAATGTTTTTTTTTTTATAATAAAACGCTTCTCGCCCTACTGTGTATGTGTAGATAAACCTTATAAAATTCTTGCATTGAAAGTAAAACCCGTTTACTAATGATATTATTCATATCACTCAGGAACATTATGTGGGTGAGATATGGCCAATCCAGATGCATCGTATCAATCTAGAAATGCAAGAATAAACGAGTAATAGATAATATAACTGCACTATAGTTGCTTTGTGCCTATTATATTGTTTCAATAAACAAGTAGAAAGCTGAGTCTGGATGCTATTACAATTCATTATGGCGATGACTTTCTGTTCCTCGTCCAACATTGCGAAGTCTGGAATTTTTCCTGTGGCCACGGAAAAGAGTTCAAATCTAATATCATC